ACCCCAATATACCGCCTCGCCTCCACCATTGGTCTTTGTGATTTAAAAACGCTTTAAATCCTATATATTACGTACTATAATTATTCATGTGCATGACCTCTTTCACGGACAAATTAATAATTTGGAAATCGTGTTTCTTATTATTATAATTGAATTTGTTCATAAAAGGAATTATGCGTATGAATTTTTATTTCATAGGGGTTTGTGCATTAAACCTTTATAAAGTAAACTGAATTATTACAAAATTTATTTTTGTACAGATTTACTGTTTACACACTTGTACACTGTCTGTAGAAGCATTTTTTGTGTCTATCACAAGATTTTATCTATCACAGACAAACACGTTTTTCCTATGACAAACAAATAAAATCCTTCACATAAAGTGTGTATGTATAAGGGATGCAATTTTGTTCGCCCCTCGGAGGGTAAACATTACTTGTTGCCATTCGGCATTGCATTTCTTTTTTTTTGTTTAAATTACTATAACTTTTTTATTCATGATCCAGTTGTTTTATTACCTCCGTCCCGATGGACTTTGCCAAGTGCAAATTAGGTGGGAAATAAGAATGGTAAAAACTGTTTGGGTGAGCTTTGTGCAGAGAAGAGAGCAATGTGCAGAACCACAAATTAGTTGATTTAATAAGAAAGTGACAAAGTTTTTTGGGACAACCAAAACGTGAAAGTTGGCAAAATCCAATAGGACGAGGGAGTATAAAAAAATCAGATTTAATAATTTTGTAAGACTTTCCAATGGTATCAATATTGTATATAAAAATTGAAAAAATCATTTTTTCTGAATATGTATTTTGAGTTTGAATTATTTTAAATTTTTTATATGAAACATTCGTACCATATAAAAGATTTTAAAAAACAAAAATTTGATAACTTTTTAAATAATTTACGAATTGTTGAGATTATTATTAGTGAAATGCACATCCACGCCACCAAAAATAGATGTTGAGATTATTATTAGTGAAATGCACATCCACGCCACCAAACACAGTTGTTGAGATTATTATTAGTGAAATGCACATCCATGCCACCAAACCCGTGATATGGAAATTCGACACATTTAGCTCTATGTGATTTAAAAAAGGCGTCAAACCTCTGTGTTCTAATTAATCATGCACAGAACCCCTTTTATGAATAAATTCAATTGTCAAATAAAAGAAAAATGATTAACATTTTTTTATGATTTAGAAATTTTGACATATTTACTTGCATATTCAGGATGTTTTTACTTGGACGGTAATTCCTCCCACACCAGACCAGACCGGATTAGACCAGTTCAGACCCGACCAGACTTGAATAGTTATAAAAATACAAAAAAACTAGACCAGACCAACCAGTTCAGACCAGAACAACAAATTACAGTCCAAGTAAAAACATTCTCAATCGGAATATTAGGAAAAATGGTTTCCAAATTGTTAAATTTATTCATAAAAGGGGTTATGTGCATGATCAATTAAAACACAAAAGAATTTGACACATTTTTTAAATCACGGGACCAAATGCGCTGAATTTCGGCATGATGGGGGTTTGGTCCATTAAATCCTTCGCTATATATTGAATGCAACATGCGGCACTCGCACGGGTAGCTCAGTTGGTCGAGTTGTGAGAGATTTAGATCAATGGACCACGGTTCGAATCTCTGCAGCGACCGGGTGGAGGTCACAGAACCTGAAATAAGGTTGGGTCTCTAGTGCGCACGGGTGTATGAGCCTACTACTATTCTGCTGACTGAGTCACTGTGACTAACCTCCCCACCATCCTGTCGGGTCGGAGTGGGGACTCTCGGAGTGAGAGATTCCGGATCAATGAATGCAACATGCGGCTGACAGTAAAGCATCACTCATACCCTTTTTTGACTTTTTCAATAATGAAGATTCTCGACCGTTTGACGGAGGCTTTGAACTGTGTGCCGGGGCATGAATTGGGTCCAAATTTTCTTTTTCGATCCCATTTTTAGATTTTTTATACACACCACCACTCCCTCGAATTATTTTCAGTTCCTAGATTTTCCACCTCAAAAATAAGTTTTAACATATTTTGTAATCACTTGGTTAATACGTAGTACAATTTTACCAGTAATCCAGCACAGTCATATAATCAAAGCCTTTTCAAGCTACAAGAATCAATTTTCAAGCTACAAGAATATTTATGTGCATGTTTTATTAATATAAGTCGTTTATCATAAAATAATGTATCGCATTGAGACAGAATTATCGAAATTTGAGCAAGTCACACCACACATTTTGTCAAAGAGGGATATTATTATTTTCTTTCATATTTTATTCTTTGGACAAGGATAATAAATCATTTTTGAGAATAAAACATATTTTAGTCTTACAATTTTAGGGGAAATAACCCTTAGTAGGACTAAAATAAGCCTAAAATTCAACAATAGGAGTATAATCCCTTTATTCCCAAAATAGGACTAATAGATATCTCTTTTTCTCATTCTACCCCTTCCTGTAATTTCCAATAGATTTATTTTATTAATAAGAAAATCATAGTTTTATTTATAATAAAACAATAAAAAATAATAAAATATTTATAAAATGATAATGAAAACGTGAAAAAATAAAAAATAATAAATAAATTATTTAAATTTTTTAAAAAAGTCCAAAAAAATAAAATAAAATACCTAAAAAAATATTTTAAAAAATGCAGGTCACTGCCAACGCGTCCTCTACCTCCCAGCACCACCGGCTCCGGCCGCCGAAAAAACTGTCATCTTGTGTAAAAAATGCCACATTTCTCTGAAAATGTCATAAAGATGACATTGTTACTCTTTGAAAATATCCAGCTTTCTCTTGCTTTCTCTTCAAAATTGCCATCATGATGACATTTTTTCCCAACTTGGCAATCTTTTCCGACGACCGGAGGTGGCAGTGCTGGAAGGTGGCTGAGGTGGTGGTTGAGGTCTGTATATTTTTTAATTATTTTTTACGATTTTTATTTTTATTTTTTTATATTTTATAATGATTGTTTAAAAATCCTATTATTAAGGACAAAGGAAAGGGTAGAATAGGAAGAATTAGTCTTATTTTGGGAATTTAAACATTAAACTCCTATCGTTGCAATTATGCTTTTATTTACTCCTATTTAGGTAAATCTCCCTTCAATTAAATCTCATCTTTTACTCCTATCGAGTCATTTCTTTTACATTTACCGTCCCCTATTGGACTTGAGGTTAATCTATATCTATCATTTTGCATGTCTACTTCAACTCCGGATTGTTCAAACATGTAGCGCATTATGACGTCCGGCCTCACAGGGTCCAATTGATCATAAATCCAGACCTGATGTAGTGTGATTAACAAAAAAACCATTCTTGAATCTTGGTGTACACCCTCTTACTAATTGCATTATGAATTGTCTTTGTAAACCCACAAACATAGGCGGTGTACACCAAAATGGTTTACAAATAGAAAATTCCTTAACAAAACTCAGTGTTTTCCATTCACACATGCCAAAACCTCAGTTAAGTTACTTAAATATGTTCTTGTTACAAGTGTTATAAGAAATAAATTATTTTTAGATTTTGATGATGTTGTACAAATTATGAATTTAGAGTGTTTGTAGGCTACCCGCCCAGAACTACTTATGCCGCTGCAAGCCTATTCTGACCAGAAAAGTGTCAGCTTTGTGAGAGACATTTTGTATCTCACATGAAACGAGACATCAAGAACAGTCTATTCATTCCCCTCTGTAGACTGTTTCTCTGATATTAACTGCGACAAGTGTGATCTTATTCACCTCTTTGGATCGTGTAGTCGTTCTTTTTTTTTCATCGACTCGTTATTATCATTTTTTATAATCGTGTCTATAATTTTTCATTATGACGCCCACAACATGGATTGATGGCTCTGATACCATGTTAATTAAGACTCAGGGTTTCATCCTAAATGTCAATCTCATAAGAGAAGTAGTAATGCATATCTTAATATTAATATAGCACTTAACTTTCACAAAGAACTCAGTGGGGGAATTCAACAACCCTCCTCAGCATGGTTTAAACGGTGAGCACTTTCTTCTTTCCTTCGCTTTTACATGAGTATTAGTCATTACTTATAATTAGCAACTATCACGGGACGAATGATTCGATCTTCTATTCACTCAAAGACCTCCTTGTTCTCCACCACTAATGGATGAAATAGTGTTATTGACAAAAGTGACAATGGTAGTTGTGTCAACGTTATAAGATTGCTTATAAGTACAGATAATTTTCATTGGGTTTGTCCATAAGATTAAGGACAAAAAATTACACCCGCACTTAGAGATAGTTCTGAGAAAATAGTTTTTTTTTGTTTGGCTGTGGTTTGATTTTTGTAAAACTAATTCCAGATTTCATATTCTTTTTCCTATTGTGAATTTGTAACCATATTCTACTCACGGATAGAGCAAATTTGTAAATCCACAAAATTTTCTCTATAAGTATACATTACAGTATGATTTATCAAAAGTGCACATTGATGATGTTTTTTATTGAATTGTGATGTTTTAACCTTCTAGTGCATATATACTCCTTATTTTACCATTGTCAAAATGTATGGTATAACTAGTTCGATTTGATCTATTTAGGACCGACTTAGTCCAAGAATTAAATCACTTCAATTAAAGAAGTCCAAAAGTATCATTAATTAATAGGCGTAAAACATACTCCGTATTCCGTAGATGAATAGCACAAATAGGAGAAGCTACATTTTATTTACAAAATATGAAAAAAAAACATAAAATTTCCCCAACTAAAAACCACATGGTACGTGTTTTTACTCTTGTTTCAGAAATTTTATCTTTATAAAATTTGGTTTAATGACTTATCAAGTAAATAACATGGACCGGTTGGTAATAAAGTAAAACCTCAGGGAGGTAAATGCAATAGTCTCTACTTAAAAAGAGAAAAGATTCAGCAATAAAAGTTAAAACCAGTTACTCCGCAGGAGTTAGCTGTAACTTGTAAGTATCTGAGAAATAGAAGAGGTAGCTAGACTTACAGCGGAGTTGAGAGTGGAGTCAAGCAAGCGCGTGGAGACGAACGCGCCGACGCAGAGAAGCATGAGAAAGAAGACGGCGAGGGAAGAGCGGGCCTGCAGGGTCATCGCCGCCAGCAACGGTCTCGGGATCGTGTCCGTGAAGTGTCTATAAGGGCCCCCCATTCCGTATGCCATCTCGCCGCTGTCCCTCATTTTCGACATCAGTGCGGCGGTGCGTACCATATAGACGCCGCCGACGGAGACAGAAAGAAAGAGATAGAGTTAGTTGTAAGGTCTGACTTATGTCACGCACCTACCAAGAGAAATTTTGGTGATGACGACCAACCTTTTTCACTTTAATTATTGTGATGATTAACGGATTCTAATTACGCGTAGAGAAGGTGGAGGCATGAAGTAATTAGGAAGAGGGGGTGAAGATAGAAATCCATCAAATCGAGTAGTGTTTATACATCTAATCCGGTTTATCACAAACTGGGTGGTTGATGGACAAATAATATAATGCAAGTAATTATAGACGTATAGTTTACTGATGCTTATCAGATCGAGTGGGCGATACGTGTCAAATTTCATCAACATACATACATAGATACGCAAAGTCTACCCGCACGGCTAGCTCAGTTGATCGAGTAGTGGGAAAATTAGACCAACTGACCAAGGTTCGAAATTCGCAGCGGCCGTGTGGAATTTATAGAATCTGAAATAAGGCTGGATCTCTGATGCGCACGTGTATAAAGCCTACCGTCGCTTTGCTAACTGAGTCATCGTGATTAACCTCCCCAACATCGGGTCGGGTGAGGGGGCCTTGGGGTTGGGCATTCAACCTTTTGGACCAAGCAAAGTGTATACTCGCGTCTCTATGCTACTGTCTCAGACTCTGAGTTACTATTCATTTAATCAACATAAATTACTTTTAATCTCTTATTTTATATATTAATTTTTTATCATATTTGATTGTGATTTTTGCGATTTTGTAAAGCTTTTAATGTAGTTTCTGAATATATAATCTTTTTTCTAAAAATAATTTGTGTACGGACATGGATTCGTTTACGTTATCATCGATCAAATATTGTAAACCGTAATGAGACAATAATAGGGGGGACGGAAGTAGTATGTTGAAGGTAAATCTCGTAGATCCGAAAGCCCAACACGAACTTTGGATATATCAGGAATGGTACAGAATCAAAGTGCATAACCAAATATAAAATATGAACTCACTAATACTCAAAAGCTCATTTGTATTAATTAACCAGTCTGATTACAAGGAAATTCCCGATCGGTAGGTCGGAAACTATGCTTTAATACAAGAAATAAGAGCAATAATGCTATTCTAGAGCCTGAGTATTGAAATGCTAATTCTTACAATGATTTTAAATCTTCTATTTATACTAATGGAGAGCATGGGCTGCCCTGTGCTGATTGGCTGTTGTTCCACCGACTTGGTCACTCATGTTTCCACTTGCTGATGTCACAATCTGGCATTAATTGCACCTGGCCACTTGCCGGTTGTCCATTGCTCGAACGGGATGTTGGACTATGCTGAAGACGCTGTCAAATTGGCCCAAGTATGATATATAGTCCGAACTCCGTTTGGTATGTCTTCTTACTAGGTCAACCCTTACTTGGGCCGAATCTCGTTCGACATGAATTCTTCACTGGATCTACTCATCATAGAGTGATGGGTCCGTTGTTTGGGCCGGGTATCTTGGGCCTTCTTGATCCGGGTATTGGGCCTCTGGATCAATATCCCAACACAAGTCCCCCACTTCCGATGTCTCGAATGACAGTGAGTGCATTTGGAAGTATGAACACCAATGTTGAAAATTGCCGAATGGCGATCGGGGATCAGAAGTAGTCAGTTCCCCATGCTGTGATTTGACGGTTGTCGTTTCATTTCCCCATTTTTATCATGATAACCGTCGTTTAGTCTTTTCATTGGACATGCGTTTAGCTTAAAAGCTTCTGATGACGTGTCGCTTCCTGATTGGTCCTTGATACGGCAATTTAAAGGCTATAAATTAGCCCTTAACCTTTCAAATCCGAGTTTCGATTCTGCAATCTCCCTCGCATCCACTAGCAAAAAAATGGTCTATAGTGACACTAAATTAGTGTCACTAAAAGTTTTAGTGACACCATAAAAGTGTCAACGAATGGTTGGAACTCTGACACTAAAAAATGTGTCACTAAAAAGTATCAGTGAATTGTGACACGTTAGTATCATAAAATATAGTGATACATTTGCATTGGTATACTTAATGACACTTTGATATCATATAAATTAGTGATATCACTAATGTTACAAAAACCTATGATACTCTTGCGTCATCCAGATTTATGATACTATAGTATCAACTATTGAACAATTTTAATACTTTTTTTGCACCACCATATCCACCTAAAAGTTTAATTTTCAAGCTTGTAGACAAATATAAAACAAATTCATAATCAAAGTATCCAAAAACTAACTAATTGCCATTTAGATTCAAATCAAAGTCAACATGAAAATTCAAAGACAGGCTAACTTGTTCTTGGAAACAAAGCAAAATCCAAAATACCAATATTCTTGAATTCTAGTCTAACTACATAGGGCTGCAAACATAAAGTAGTCATTACATAGGTACTTGAGACACATAAAGTACATCACAAGCATCCAAATGTTATGTCCTTCCAGCCATTTGTTTAACCGTCATAATGCATACGAGCTTAGCAAAAATGTTAGAATCAAGACTGCTATTGGACTCTAGAAAAGCTAGTGTTCTTGTTGATGGATCTTCAACTTTGACACCTACAGTTTCCAATAGGGAATCTACCATACTTTGTTCTTCCCTACAATCATCATCTTCTCTACACGTATCAACCTTCTGTAAGAATAGAAAGTTGAACCATTTGTCAGCAAAGGAACATAATATACTGCTAAGTATTCAGTGGTAAACAATATTCAGAAAGTTGAACCATTTGTCAGCAAAGGAACATATAACAGTATTATCATCATGGGCTTCACAAACTGTGTTAACAGGACCAACACCAAACTGTGGTGAAACAACATAGACAACAAGTTTACCAGCAATAGCCTTATTACCTGTAGCAGCAGAAGTAGGGCAGTATGCACAACAGAAGTAGGTACAAGATTCACAGCAGTAGTGGCACAATCAGTATCCAAACTCAGGTACCTTTCCTCCCTCTATTTTTTATCCTCATTTCTGGCTCGGTCGAGATGAGTTCTCAACAGCATTCTCCTGATTCGGAGATGGCCTCCCATGGAGATGACCGTGACGCTGCTATTGTGGATGTCATCACAGTCCCATTCGCCGGTGGTTCTACTGAAACGGCGACAAATACTAGGGCTGAGGTGGAGGACCTTCCTAGCACTTCATCTTCCTCTGGTGAAAGCTCTGATGGCACAAAATCTGAGGATGAAATGGATTTAATGGCGGCTGGACGGCCAAAAGATGTCCCTCGTCATTCCCTCGACCTAGGTTTAATTAGGGCAAGACGGCAGAAATTGACTGCCAATAATAGGGCCGAAATTCCGGCCTTAATTCCAGACCCAGTGGACTTTGGATTGCAAGCTGGGCTTCATCCCCTGCGTCACGCCCCTGGGATGATCGTGGTCCATTTTGATTCAGTGAGGGCTGGGCTTAGATTTCCGTTACATCCCATTTTTATTTCATTTTTTAATTTTTATGAAATTGTACCTGCCCAAGTCATGCCGAACTCCTATCGGGCAATGGCGGGCTTTATCTGTCGTTGTAAAGATGTCGGTGCTTCACCGACCTTAGATTTATTTCATCAATTTTTTAAAGTAGCCCCCAACAAACTCATGGGTACCTAGCCGCTAGTTCCCGAACGGGCCACATCCTATTCAAAGGAAATCCAACCTCAATCAAGGGATGGAAAGATAGGTTTTTCTTCGTGTCTATCCCGGACGGGTTGATCCCTCATAAATGGAACGCCTTTCCCCGCAAGACTCCCGACCCAGTTCTCACTGAGGAAATCTATAAGGATGTACTCGTTGTGGAGAAGGACAAGTGTTGTGATATCATGACCTACCTGACTCCCGATCGGCTTGTTAAAGCCGGGATAGGTACTGCCCGTTCTCTTGGGTTTACTTGTTTTGAGAATCAAGTGCCATAGTCCGGGCGGTCCTTCCCGTGCGAGAAACGTTCCCTTCTTGTTACTAGTTTCTCACATGCTAAAGGCCGCTCGGTACTAACATTTCCCTTTGTCATTTTTCAGCTCCCAATCCAGACGCTACTATGGATGACAGCTGTGTGCTTCTTGCTGGCGGGATCGGGAAAAGGAAGAAGAAAATGAAGAGGAATCCAAAAGTTGATTCACCCACCCCTACTGTTCCACAACCCGAACCTGCACCGACCGTTCAGCAACTGGAGCCTAATCAGCAATTTTCTGGTCAGGATCATTATGATGCCATGATGATCGATGACCACTTTGGTTCTGATCAGCTGCATCAGTTTTCCCAACACTTTGATTTTGTTCATGGGGAAACCTCGAACGTAGGCGGGAATCATACCGACCATATCACTGGTCAGGTCGAACGGATCTCTTTATCGGATCCTGTTCATGAAGTGCTAGAGAGAGCTGGTTCTACCGCGAGCCAGATCTGGTCAACATCTTCCCGGTTCAACAATTTCTCCCTTCCCCAGTTACCGGTCGAGCAATCCAAAGAATGCCTGGCCTTGACCGCACTGAAGGTATATTTTCATTTTGCGCTTTGTTTTTATTTTATTCTCTGTAATCAGTACCAACTCTCGAACGGTGCTTTGTAGATGGATTTGTATACTTTACAAATGCGGGAAGCCCGTCTGGCCAAGGAACGGGAATTAATCGTTTCTCAATCCTCTGCTGAGCAAACTGCTGTTGCTGCCATCACCTCCCTGGAGGCCGAACGGAAGGCTTTTGTGGAGGAAAAACAAAGGCTGGATACTGAGCTTGGTACCCTTCGGGTCCAACTGGTTGCTTCCCAAGCTAAAGTCATTGCTGTCGAGGCTGCACAAATCAAGTTTGAGGAGATGCCTTCTAGCATCCCGAATGGCCCATATGAGGTGAATGTGGATCTATCCGCTGTCCGGGAAGCATTCAAATCCTCCGATGAATTCTCCATCATCAAGGATGATCATGCTAGGACGCAAATCCTGTTCGCATTTGGAGCGTACCTGAAGGGGTTTCCTAGGGGTGTTGGTCGGCTTTCGGCAGGGGTGGCTCTTTTGGATAAGGATCCTGAGAGCAAGAAATGGAATGACTCCATTGTTGCAGATCTCTACGCCAAGATCGGCCAGGTCCTGCTACGTCCTTTTGTAGCCCAACTTCAAAACAATCTTGGGAGGTCGGTCTAGGCTTCTGATCTTCCCCAGGATGAAATCATACAAGCTCAGTTTGAAAAATTCCAGTGAGATCTGCAACGGGAAGCTGATTGGGCTGCTGGGAGAGAGCCTGAACCCCCATCTGATGATGATGAAGACGAGGATGAAGATGGAGAGGAGACGG